AAGTCCAAAAGTCAAAGTCAAAGTATTCGATAGAATTCTTTTAGCTACAAGTGCAAATGAAAATGAAAAAATTCGATGGAGATCCATAGAAGATTTCTCAATTTATTTAACTACAAGTCCAAAAGTCAAAGTCAAAGTATTCGATAGAATTCTTTTAACTCCAAGTCCAAGTCAAAGTGGAAATCAAAATATTCGATGGAGAACCGTAGAAAATTTCTGAATTTATCTTAGCTGCAAGTCCAAAAGTCAAAGTCAAAGTATTCCATATAATTAATTCATATCTCGGAAATCGTTGCAGCATTTCTGCAAGGGATAGTAAACGGAGAAAGACTAAGAGAGAGAGAGAGAGAGAGAAAGAGAGAGAGAGAGAGAGAGAGTTGGCTGGCGACGTAGGTATACACGTGTAAGGGCGTAGAATTACTGAAATTCTAACCCGTGACCCTCGGGCAGCGCCGAGGGCGCGCGTATTTCGGCTCGATTGCGCGCCTCAGCATTCAGAAGCCTCGGCGAGGGTAGAACTCGATCCTCCTCCGACGTGGCGCGACCTTCGACGGAAATGGCACGAGACTCACGACCACACGAGATCGTGTCTGCCCCTCACTCTCCGAATATCGAGGATATTTTAACCCCCTTTTAATCGACACTGAGATTCCAAGTTTCCTCTCTGTCTTTCAAATTTCTAAGTGTGTGACGAGCACGTATTTGAAAGAATTTGAAAGTATTTCACCTTTTATCCAGTATCGTTTCAGAGGAAACTCGTTCACACTGGAAACGCAAAGAAAATAGTGCATGTTGACAAAAATTTTGGTCAAAAATTCAGGGTGTTGTGCAGCACATGAGATGAGATTCTTTTGTAGAATTGTAGAATAAAATTTTCTCGAAGCTTTAAATAAAAAGAATGTTATTCCTTAGTTTTCACCTGTTCTTGCACGTGGAACTTTCAGCTTGTTAGCTTGTTATGAATTATTCGTTTCACATGCTAGTCTAAATTTCCTCGAGTGAAAAAAGAAAATTTCATTCTACATTAACCGTCACCCTCTCTGTTGTGTGTAATTCGCTCTTGCTTGAATTCTAAATTCCCCTTCAATTTTCATCCATCGTTCGAGTCGAAGTTTGACTAAAATTCAACCTCGTATCGATACTCGTAATCGATATCGGCTGCAAGAGACTCGGCGTTCCTCGATGGCGCGAACCTTTCGAAACGGCGATATTATCACCGGTCGCCGTCTACGCATCTGGCGGCAGTTTAATATCGGCATATTAATGGCATTAAACGGTATATCAGAGGAGAGGGTGCAATTTTAGCCGATTAGCCGACCGGCTGAATCCAGACGTTTCGCCAACCGGCGCCGTTTTCATTTATCGAACGTGTGCGGCTCGATTAGCCGGCCCGCTAATAAGCGCGTTTTCGAGTAGCGCGAGCCACGCTACGCGCGGGTAATAACGCGTGTAAAAACGGATGAATTTTCCACGGTCTCGTGCCCTCCAGATAAAAATCTCCGCTTTTATTCGGTAAA